CAACCCATGTCTAAGCAAAAGCTTGTCGAGGAGCGAGGGGAAGAAGGGAGACTAGTATCAGTACAGTATGAAAAGCCTTTTGCTGTTGAGGAATGGGCCTTTGAATATCGGTCCAGGGGGTGTGGTATCTTGTATCATTTGTGGTACTCCTATTGAGAGGCGNTAAGCAAAAGCTTGTCGAGGAGCGAGGGGAAGAAGGGAGACTAGTATCAGTACAGTATGAAAAGCCTTTTGCTGTTGAGGAATGGGCCTTTGAATATCGGTCCAGGGGGTGTGGTATCTTGTATCATTTGTGGTACTCCTATTGAGAGGCGTGGAGAGCAATGTTTGTAGTCTACAGCACATCCAGCAGTAGGTATGTTTCGGATAGATCATTGCACATGTTTGATTTGCTGCTACTGCTAACCATTTACTGCTACCGCTGTTCGACTTGCCTACCCCATGTTACTGCGACGCAGGCGCGGTCCTCTTCAACGGCGAAAAATTGTGGAAGCGGTTCGACATACTAAAACCCCGTGTGGGACTGGTGTGTCTGTCTGTGACCTTGTTTGTGTACGTGCTTGGAGCGGCATCAGTACAGCTGCCGCGCTGCAATTTTTTTTGTTGTGTTCCGTGGAGGGTATTTTCCTGTTCTCTTGTGGCGTGCACTGCTGTGAACGAGCAGTCGACTGCAACCACGCCCTCCCGAGAAAAACATGGTTGGCGTCGGCGGCGTAACTACTACTGTGTGTACAGTGGTGAGTAGTGCACCTACCTTCCGCCACAGAAGCACCGACGAACAACTCCCGTAGGCAATACAAAATGAAGAAGCGAGGCCGAACANGCTGCAATTTTTTTTGTTGCGTTCCGTGTAGGGTATTTTCCTGTTCTCTTGTGGCGTGCACTGCTGTGAACGAGCAGTCGACTGCAACCACGCCCTCCCGAGAAAAACATGGTTGGCGTCGGCGGCGTAACTACTACTGTGTGTACAGTGGTGAGTAGTGCACCTACCTTCCGCCACAGAAGCACCGACGAACAACTCCCGTAGGCAATACAAAATGAAGAAGCGAGGCCGAACACGAAGGAAGACGAAGGATATTGAACAGAGGTATTTGTTCTCAAGAATAGTAGTCGGTTTTACGAGAGTAATAATCAGTGATGTTGCGTATGTTTCTGTAAAAAACGCCTACATGCGCCCTTGTCTGGTGTGTTGTCGTGAGCATCGAACGCGGTGCCTAGCGGTTTGATGTTCTTGTTTTTTGTCCGCACACCAATGGAATTGCCGCACTACATTTAAATTTCGAAATGTCACGTGCCCCGATCACCATACATGTACTATGCGGACAACAGCAGTGTTGAACAAATGCCCAATCGCGTTAACAGCTGCTTTTGGCGGCAACTCGCTGGCGTTTCCCCCCTTCCCCTTCAAAAAAGCAACATACCAGCACGGGTGGGAACAGCTTTTGAGATAGGTGGCCCCAGGGCGTACGACATGTTGCGAAGAAATAAAGTAGTCCGCCCATCCCCCACCGTGTTTCCCCCCGATCATATAAACTACGCATGGAAGTTGTCGCGGTGAGACACACAATAAACAACGATGCACTCATGTCAGATTTATTGTTGCACTCTCCGCACCAAGTCAAAACTGCAGTCACAAACCCTTGTGCGTTTCGCAATGTGTCGTTTTGCCCTCGGTACGGTGACCCTCTCACTGGTCGGCCAACTCTAAAACGATGACGGAAGTCATGTGCATGTGGCACACCGGTGCTGTGTCACTTTGGCCGATTGGCATGACTCCCGGAACAATATTCTAAACCTCAGCGAAATATACAGTGGTGTGTATTCTTGACATAGTTTCCGCGCCACGGCCCTTCGAAATAAGTCGGATAGAAGAAAACCGATCGAAAATAGTAAGACCAGTGGCGACATGGGTGTGAACTGCTGCCCGTCAACATTCGAAATATGTGTCACCTTTGCGCGTACACACGAGCGAGAGTGCGTTACGATGGCTGCCAATCTCACCCGTTCTTCCTGCCTCTCTCTACCTTGTTTCCGTGCACCCCTGGCCCAGTTTCGTCGAAGGACAACCTGGGGACCAACAACCGTCGGGCAGCCAAGACGAAGACGCCATCCATTACCTTCTGGACGGAGTCTACCACATGGAATCCGGAACGGGGAACGCAGAGGACCCGATCGAGTTGGAAGAGAGGGGTGGCGGTGAGGGAGAGGGTTGGGAAGATGACTCTGGGGAATCGTCACCGACGGAGAGCGAGGACGGCGGGAGTGGAAAGCAGAAAGGAACTGAGGAAGCAGTGGAGCCACAGGNATCAACCTCGGTGTACGCACCGCTCGCCTCCGACCCGCTTTCGTCGCTGGTGCCGGGTGACCCTTTCTTCGCCTTCTGCTTCCCGCCGCGACCCTTGGGTCCGGACGCGCCGCGACCCTTGGGTCCGGATGTTTTGCGTACGGTTCGGAGGTCAGGGTCCTCGCTGCTGCATGGCCTTCCGATCAAACAGAATGTCAGGACATACTGGTGCATCCACTTGTTGGGCCTCTGCGGAAACCCGCCCGCTTCTCGTGATTGAGAACAGGTAGACGTACAGGCAGCAGGGGACAGAGTGATTGAAGGGTGGGAGTCCATCGTGAACGCAACGGCAGAGAGAGTAGTGGGAACGAAGGTGGTACGATGTGGGGTATCGGTTAAGTGGTGGGATGACGAGCTGAAAGAAGAAATAGGGGAACGTAGAGAAGTCTTCAAGCAGTACCTGAGTGAGGCGTCTGAGGAGAGTTGGGAAAAGTACAGGGCCAAGAGAAAACAGGTGAAGGGACTAGTGAAAAAGAAGAAAAAGTGTATTTGGGACGAAGTAGTGCAGAAGGCCAACGGAGGCCTGGAGGGGAACATCAAGCAGATGTGGGAAGGGATTAGTGGATCTGTAAAAAAGACCGCGCAAGGAGGGGATACAAGGGTCGCAACTTTGCGAGGTGTGAACGGTGGATTAGTCAGCAGTGGGAAGGGAAAAAGGGAAGTTCTAGCAGGACACTACAAGAGACTTGGAGTGCCCTCGGAGAATGAAGCTTTTGACCAAG